CTGATCCTACTGCTGCCTCAGTCATGCTTGATTCATCTCATCCCTTCTGCCTCCACCCATCAGATTCTCCTGGGATGGTGCTTGTTAGCTCCATTTTTGATGGAAAAGGTTATGGAGGGTGGCGAAAGGGCATTCTCATTGCCTTGTCAGCCAAAAACAAACTTGGATTTATTAATGGTTCCTTTCCTCAACCCAAAATTTCATCAGACTCTTTCAAGCCATGGACAAGGTGTAACGACATGGTCATCTCTTGGGTTTTGAACTCCCTCTCTAAAGAAATTGCTGAGAGTGTGCTTTATTCCAAAACTGCTAGGGACATTTGGACTGAGCTTGAGGAGCGCTTTGGGCAGAGCAATGGTCCTCAGCTCTATCAACTGCAAAAGAAAATCTCATAGTTAGCCCAAGCAAACCTGGACATTGCAGGATATTATACCAAGCTGAAACGACTTTGGGATGAGTTAGACAGCTTGGACATTACACAGCATTGTACCTGTGATTGTTCATGTGGAGGAAAGGAGAAACACTACAAGTCTCAGCAAGATGGGAGACTTATTCAATTTCTCATGGGGCTCAATGATGCCTATGCTGCAGCTAGGAGCATCTTGCTTATGCTGTCTCCATTACCTTCAGTTAACCATGCTTATTCCCTCATGATCAGGGATGAGAAACAAAGGGAAGTGCAGATCTCTCAGCATGTTCCTCCTTAGAGTACTTTTGTTGCATCTCAGCAGTCTTATCCAGTTGGTCGCAAATACTCTCCTGATAAGAAGCAAAACAAAAAGGCAAAGAAGGGAAATCAGTTCTGTGCTTATTGCAAGAAACAAAATCACAGCATAGAGAACTGTTATAGGTTGATTGGGTTTCCTGCTGATTTCAAATTTACCAAGTCCAACAAAAAGATTTCTGGACCTAGAAGCAATGCAACTGTCTCAGTTGAAGATTTAGGATCTTCATCTATCACCTCAAGAGCACAACCAATGACCCAAGATCAATTATACAGTCTATACCAGTTGCTTCAGACTGTCAAACTTGGTACTCAGACAGATCAGCCTACTGATGACACAATTTCTGCAAATTGTGCTGGTATCTCCTTCCCTTCTCCTTCTTCTAAAACCTATATTAATATCTCTTTAAATTCAGTGTCCTGGATACTAGACTCAGGAGCTTCAGAACACATGACTTCCAATTTGGCACTCCTATTTAATGTGCAGCATCTTCCTAAACCTGTATATGTCACCTTGCCTAACTCAGCCAAGGTATTGGTATTCAAATCAGGCTGTGTCACAATTCTGCCTGGTTTTACCCTCACCCATGTTTTGTTTGTTCCTAATTTCAATTACAACTTATTGTTTGTGCACAAATTGTGTCTACAATTCCACTCCATCCTAATGTTTTCTTCTTTTGGTGCTACTTTGTAGGCCCCTTCACTGAAGAGGCCAGTGGTGCTTGGTAAAGTCAGTCGAGGGATCTATGTTTTCAACTCTGCTCTTCCAAGTCAAGTCAAGCCTAGAGTAGTCATTTCTAGTTTAATCAAGGCTATTAGCCATTCTGCTTGTAATCAAAATGCTACTACACTAAGTTCTTCTTCTACTTTATGTTCAGGAGAAGTTTCTTCTAATGTAAGACTTTGGCACCATAGATTGGGCCATATGCCATTTTCTAATATGAAATGCATTTCTTCTATTTCTTTACCATCTACTGAATCTTCCATTAATCGTTGTGATATTTGTGCAAAAGCTAGGCAAGCTAAATTATCTTTCCCTTATAGTTCTATCACTTCTAAGCATATATTTGATCTCATACATATGGACACATGGGAACCTTACCACACTCCCACTTATGATGGTTATAGATACTTCCTTACTATTGTTGATGATTATAGTAGAGGAACATGAACTTTCCTTCTCACCACTAAATCCAATGCTTTCCCAGTTCTAAAACAGTTTTTAGCCATAACTGAAAGACAATTCAACACTAAAGTAAAGGTGATCAGATTAGATAATGCACTTGAATTGGGTAACAGTCACACTACATCTCAGTTTTTTGCTTCCCAAGGAATCATCCATCAGACCACATGTGTCTCCTCTCCTCAACAAAATGGTGTTGTTGAGAGGAACACACGCATCTTCTTGAAACTTGTCGAGCCTTATTATTTCAGTCTAATTTGCCTATTCCATATTGGGGAGATTGTTTGTTAACAACCACTTTCTTAATAAATCGATTTCCATCCAAAATTATTAACATGAAAACCCCTTATGAGCTTCTGTTTGGTCAACCTCCCAACTATGCCACTCTCAAGGCATTTGGTTGTCTATGTTATGCATCTACCTTGCCTCTTCACAAATCTAAATTAGATCCTAGGTCTCATAAATGCATATTTCTGGGGTACCCCTTTGGGAAGAAGGGCTACAAATTGCTCAATCTACACACCCTTAAGATTTTTGTTTCTAGGAATGTTATTTTTCATGAAACTATTTTCCCTTTTGTCTCCTCTACTGGTTCTTCTTCTATTTTTCCTACTGCTCTCCCTTCTTCTTCTTTTGATATTTCCCCTCCTTCAACTGCTTCTCCCTCTCCTTCACCTATTACCTCATCTTCCAGTTTTTCTCCTACAGCTACCCATCCTAGGTCTGCCTCTCCTTCACCCTCTCTTTCCAAGTTTTTCTCCTCTACTCCTGTTTCTCAGCCTGTTCTACCTCCTCATATCACCCCTGCCCTTAGAAGGTCAACTAGAGAACATAACATGCCTAGTTATTTGTCTGATTACATTTGTAATTCAGTTTTGATCACTAATATATCTCCCTCTTATTTTGAATCCCCTGTTTCCCCTCCTATTTTATCCCTTTCTGCTTTATCTACTTCTAATCAGTCTCTCCTCAACTCCACTTCCTACATATCTGAACCTACATCCTATTCCCAAGCCTCTCTTCACCCTGGGTGGCAAGAAGCCATGAACAAGGAGCTTGCTGCTCTTGCAGCTAACAAAACTTGGGAGGTAGTTCTTTTGCCCAAGGACAGAAAAGTCCTTCCTTGCAAATGGGTCTACAAGGTCAAATACAGGCAGGATGGTTCAGTTGAAAGATTTAAGGCTCGTTTGGTTATAAGGGGTGATATTCAACGAGAAGGGATTGATTTTACTGAAACTTATTCTCCTGTGGTTAAAATGACTACCCTAAGGTGTTTATTGGCAGTAGCTATTAAAAAGAACTGGGACATCTCCTAATTAGATGTGAACAATGCTTTCCTTCATGGTGATTTGCAAGAGAAAGTTTACATGAAATTTCTAGCTGGTCTTTCTCCTCCTACTCTTAATCATGTCTGTAGACTCAAAAAGTCTTTATATGGTTTGAGGCAAGCCTCAAGGCAATGGTATGCTCGTCTCGCTGCAACACTCAACTTTAAGGGCTATTCACATTCACTTAATGGCTATTCTTTGTTTTTTAAGAAATTAGAAGGTCGCATCACTATTCTTGCTGTCTATGTCGATGATATTCTACTCACAGGTGATGATCCAGTTGAACTTGGGGCTCTAAAGTCTTTCCTTGATTGTGAGTTCAAAATAAAGGACTTGGGGCAAACACATTATTTCCTAGGTCTAGAAATCATCAGAGAACCACAGGGGATCATTTTAAGTCAAAGAAAGTTTACCTTGGATCTCTTATCCGAGTTTGGTTGCTTGGATCTTCACCCTGTCTCCTCTCCTCTTGACCCTTCTTCTCATCTTCGTATTAATGTAGGTGAGCCTTTGCAGGATCCCACACTCTATAGAAAGCTTTTGGGGAAACTCAATTACCTTACCCACACTCGCCCTGATTTATCCTTTGCTGTTCACCACCTCAGCCAAATCATGTAGTCTCCCTGTCGTCCTCACTTTGATGCTGCTCTTCGTTATCTCCGTTATCTGCTCCTTAATCCTGGGTTAGGTATTTTTCTGTGTTCTTCTTCTTCCTTCAATCTCCTTGCCTTTTGTGATTCTGATTGGGGTCGTTGCCCTGATACTCGACACTCAATTAGTGGTTATTTCATCACTTTGAGTTCTTCTCCTATCTCTTGGAAATCCAAGAAACATGCTTTAGTCTCTCTATCTTCTGTGGAGGCAGAATATCGATCCATGAGACACGTTGTAGCCGAGCTCACTTGGTTGCTGCGCCTACTTGAGGATCTCTCTCTCACTCCTTCTCTTCCAGTTCCCCTCCTCTCTGATAGCCAAGCCGCCATCCACATAGCCAAAAACCCGGTCTTTCATGAACGAACCAAACATGTCGACCTCGACTGTCATTTTGTGCGACAACAATACCTTGCTGGCCTCATTTCCCTCTCCTTTGTTCTTTCAATTTCTCAGATCCCTGACGTTTTTACAAAACCCCTTTCTGGCCCTACTCACCGTCTAATTTTGGGCAAGTTGGGGGTTGCTTCTCCTCCCTCCAACTTGAGGGGGGATGTTGGACCACAGATTTCGACTTTCTCAGACGATAATGGTGATTTGCAGAAGAGAAAGTTGGGTAAAGAAGATGACCTAAGGACACTAAGGTTCAAAGACAAGGCACAAGCTTTGTCGGATTCTTCGAGGATATGTCTGAACAAGGATACAATATAATGGTCTAAGATGGGCATTTGTTTTTGGGCCTATAACGAAATGGGCTGTCTTTGGATTATCACTTGGGCCCAGAATTTCACTTGGCCTTTTCTGAGTTATACTAGAAGATTCTTTTATATTTAATTGTAAATAGATTTTCCTTATTCTTATATTTATCTCAAAGTTGGTTATTCCTTTACCAATAGTATAAGGACAACTATCATATGTTGTTATACATAGATTACTTTCTAAATTGTATAAAGAAACGTTCCGTACAGAACAAATTTCATTCAATACACAGAAATTCCTAAATTTTGTTCTTTACATTATCTTTTCCAATACTTATAAGCAATTACTGAATGCGACTATCTGTGAATCGGACTTCTTAATATTATTAATGTGACTTATAATCTAAAAAATTAAAAATTCACTTATGTTTGCGACGTATACTTCGCGATTAGCAATCAGAGAATGCTTTATAGCTATCAGCCTATATTTCCCTCCAATTTCAAGTAGAGCAAAAGAAGGTTAAAGAAAAAGGGTTTCATTCTGCTCGAGCTTTGAATCTTTGAAGTCACAAATCGAAGTTCAAAAATGGCCTCTTCTTCTACGACGACACCGTCAGGCCCAGAAATCCCATGGGTAGAGAAGTTTCGACCCACAAAGGTATCGGACATCGTAGGCAACGAAGATGCTGTCGCCAGACTCCAAGTTATTGCTCGTGATGGCAACATGCCCAATCTTATCTTAGCCGTAAGCAAAGGGAGACATTTTCATTTTCCTTCCTGATTTTGCTACTACTCTCTTTTTTTAATCCAATTAAGAAATTTTACTTTATCATGGAGTTGAGGTTTAGTGCAGATATAGCACTGCCATATACCCGTTTGTAATATTTCTTGATTAAAGCATTGATAATTCATCTTGTTAAACAAAAAGGACCAATTTTGCTGCTGCTTCTCGATTTTGCTACTGATTTATTTTTGCTCCATTTATGTAAAATTGAGAAATTTTACTTTATGGGGTTGAGGTTTAGTGCAGATACAGCATTACCATAGAGTTATAGACCCATTATGTAATGGTTCTTGATTTGGTTGTCAAAAACAAAAAAAAATGAAAACATTGATAAATCTTTATGTTTAAACAAAAAAAAAGGACTAATTTTGATGCTGCTTCTCGATTTTGCTACTGATTTTTTTTGCTCCATTAATGAGAAATTTTACTCTATGGGGTTGAGGTTCAGTGTAGATACAGCATTGTTGTAGGTCCGTTTTGTAATGGTTCTTAATTTTGTTGTCAAAAACAGAAAATGAAAAACATTGATAGATCTTTATGTTAAAAGAAAAAATGACTAACTTTTGCTCCATTTATGGATATTGGATAATGAGAAACTTTATTTTCGGGGTTTGAGGTTTAGTGTTTGGAAGGTGAAAAAAGAAAATGGGAAAAAAAGTACTTAAATACTTCCATGCGGGGTTCTTCACAAGCTTGATTCTTGAAGACTTGAACTATGTTTGATGCTATTGCTATATCTTATTTATTCAAATGAAGAAAAAGGAACTAACTTTTTGCCCCATGTATGGTTTAATTGCTTATTAAGAAACTCCATTGTTAGGTTTGAGATTTACTGCAGAGAATAGTACTGTGGTCTAATGGTTCTTGATTTGTGTTGTCAAAAAGTAAAAGAGAAACATATGGCTGAAAATTACTTTGCAAGGGTTATTCACAAGCTTGAACTATGTCAAATGCTATTAATCATTATCAGCATTTATGTAAAAAGAACTTAAGAAGAAAAGTTTTAATTTCTTGCTCCACTACGGATGTCAAGAAACTTTATTTTATGGGTTTGAGAGCTAGTAATTTATGTAAATCTGAAGCTCCTTAATCAAAGTCTAATAATGAAATGGTTATGGAGATATTCAAAAGAAGAACATCGGCGTTGGAGAAAGTTGGACTTGGTTCTAGCAAAGTATGTGGAGCTGGCTTTCTGCTGCACAATCAGTAAGTTCCAGGTATGGTGTAGGAGTCTGCAAGTGCATAAGGAATCATTGGCCTGATTTCTCAAAAACAGTACAAATAAAAAGTGGGAAATGGGGAAAAGAGTAAAATTTGGCATGACTCTTGGGTTGCGCACACCCCTCTAATAATCAGATTCCTGAGATCTTTGCTCTTACTGCAAACAAAAAGTCAGTATTCTACAATGTAAATCTGGTTACAAATGGAGTTTAAGCCTCAAATGAAGTTGTTCTGATTGAGATATCAACGGTGTTGCAAAACTGTTGAAAGGAGTTTATTGTGTGGGAGCCCGGTGGGAAAGGAGTTTTTTTTCCGGCAGATCATGCTATAAAAAATTGCCAGAGGGAAATTTAGTGTTTCAGAAGTGGCCATTGAAGCTCATACGGGGCCCAAAAGCTCCATACCATGTGTCTGGCTTTTGCTGGATTATAGCTCTGCTACTGCGACCTCAGTCTTATTCTCTTGCGGTCAATAAGTCCTGAATATGAAGCATTCCTTATTCCTTTTCTTGTGTAAATCTTGATGGTCCTTGCTCAATAGTACTTGGACTTTCGTAGTTATATGTACATATATATTCGCAAAGAACTATGCTCTTTTGTGTTAGCTTATACCAGATGTTGGATACCGATTCTTTTACCTCTTGTGTTTTGTGGGAGAATAGTCTTTTGGTTTCTAATACATTCTTTTTATCATTCCTGAACAGTATCCTTGAGTAATATTGAATTTCAATGTGTTGATTGATGAGAATGTGTAAAAACAAAGTAGTTATTGTTAGTTTTCCTGGAAGTTGACCATTTTTACTCATGCAAATCTAATTTAGGACTTCCAAATTCCGAAGTGTTTGTCCCTTTGGTGTTACATTGAATTGGCAAAAGCAGTTTGCTAAAAACAATGTGCATAGTTTCTTCATGCTGAATATTCGATTCTGTATAAACTCTCTGCAGGGTCCTCCTGGTACTGGCAAAACCACTAGTATATTGGCTCTTGCTCATGAACTTCTGGGGCCAAACTATAAGGAGGCTGTTTTGGAGCTAAATGCATCAGATGATAGGTATATTGAGTGCTTGATTCGATTTAAAAACTCTTTGTTTCACATGATTCTTTCTCGCTTCTATAAGATTCTTAGAAGCGTTAATGTTTCTTGTGCAGAGGCATCGATGTTGTCAGAAACAAAATCAAGATGTTTGCTCAGAAGAAAGTTACTCTACCCCCCGGGCGGCACAAAGTAATTATTTTGGACGAGGCTGACAGGTTAGAAATGTTATTCTGTAAATTTGAGATATCATTTTTGTGCTCAGGGCTTGAAGTCATTTGGAAAAAATGTTTACTTTTCTATCTCTTTTGGACCATCCCTATCAATTTGACTGATTCTGTAGGGTAGTAGACAATCTGTCTCTGTGGTGTTGACCTGCATTTTCTGCAGTAGCTCAATTGTTTTACTTTTCACTTTTGGTTTTGGGTATGGAAATTTTATTGCTGTGTTTTTTGAATTTTTAGCATGACATCTGGAGCTCAGCAAGCACTGAGGAGGACAATGGAAATATACTCGAACTCCACTCGCTTTGCTCTCGCCTGCAACACTTCTTCTAAGATTATCGAGCCTATTCAAAGTAGATGTGCCCTGGTCCGATTTGCAAGATTATCTGACCAAGAGATCCTTGGACGCCTTATGGCCGTGGTTGATGCAGAAAAGGTACTAACAATCTTAATCCTTGACACACATGCTATTTTCTTCTAGTGTTCCTCTTGCTGCTTCAAAATGGTTTCTTTTGATCCTTGTGTTAAATCAACATTTTTTGTCTGCACAGTGAGTCAGATAGCATGTTATTATACCTTAATCTGTTGCAGCACAATGAACCTCCCAGTTACTCTATAAATTTCATGCCTTCCTTTGCTAGTTAATTTGGTTATGAGCTAAAGGGTAGGAACTTTTCTATATCCTTCAGCCTCACAGGGCGTTGTGAAAGTTTCATCTAATCACTTCAATATGCGGTCATCTTTGTTTACGAAATGTTATATTGGTAGGAGGGAAGAGATTTGATCTATGGATATGGCGATATGCTACCTCTTGCAGGTTCCTTATGTACCCGAAGGTCTTGAGGCTATTATATTTACTGCTGATGGAGATATGAGACAGGCATTAAATAACTTACAAGCAACACACAGTGGATTTGGTTTTGTCAACCAAGAGAATGTTTTCAAGGTTACAAGGCTCACATATTTCTTTCATATAATTATTCATCTTTTGACAGACCTCCCCTTATGATTCCATTCTCTTTTGCTGAATGCTAGGTTTGTGACCAGCCCCATCCGTTGCATGTGAAAAATATGGTCCGGAATGTCCTTGAAGGGAAATTTGATGATGCTTGCGCGGGTTTAAAGGCTCTATATGACCTGGGCTATTCCCCCACGGATATTATCACAACCCTCTTCCGAATTATAAAGAACTATGACATGGCGGAATATGTAAAACTGGAGTTCATGAAGGTTTGCCTGTTCTAGTACTTCTGAATAGTTCCAATCTTTATAAGCCATCTTTGGTTTAACATCATTTATTTCTTTTCTGCTGGGATAACAGGAAACTGGTTTTGCCCACATGAGGATCTGCGATGGGGTTGGTTCGTATCTCCAGATGTGCGGTTTGCTGGCTAAACTATCATTGGTTCGAGAAACGGCTAAGGCTGCATAATAAGACAGGCATTTGAAGTACATGGTCAACAGAGAGATTAGTCCTTGGTGATCTTCCTTTTTATCTCCTAGTTCTTCCTTTCCTTAAAAACAGCTTAGCTTATATGCCAAACGTTGGGCTGTCTAATAGCAAAGTCATTGCTGTTGTTGCTATGTGGAAAATGATTGCTGAACCATTATGCATTTCAGTTCTACTAATGTAAAGGAAGCCCTTTGACTCTAGGAATGAACATGTTAGAAAAGGACCACGAGGGCGTTTTGGATTGACTTTTAAGCTGGTCAAATCAGCTTTTAAGCTCTTTTTAGCTTTTTCAGCAGGGAAAATGCATAAGTACCCCCTGACCTATACCCGGATTCCCAACTACACACTCTACCTTTGCGGGATTTTTATTACCCCCCTAAACTATTTTAAAGTAGAATTATTTGCACCCTTAAAGCTGACGTGAAAGAGTGTGTATTTTACTCTCCTTTGGTAGAGTGAGAAGCAAGAAAAAACGATTTTTAGATTTTTTTGTTGCTTTTTTACAATTTTTCTTACTTTTTTCCCCTTTTCCTTTGTCTTTGTCTTTGTCTTTTTCTTTTTCTTTTACTTTTTTTTTCGTTTCTTCTCTAATTCTGGCGGATATTTATTCTCCGGCGACTTTATCTTATCGTTTTTCTTCCATTTATTCTGTTTTTATTTTTCCTCTTTCTATCATTTTCACATACAAATTAAACTTTCAAAAAGATCTATTCATAAGCAAAGCAAAATATACTCAGATCGGGATAAAAATCTGTCGTTGGAAAACAAATTTGCCGGAAAAATGGTATTCTTGAAATTCCGGCGACCACCATTTTATGCCGCCGGTGACCAAAACAAAGAGAAAGAGAATGAAATAACCAAAAAAATGAGAATAATGAGAAATAAGAAAAAAGGATAAGAAAAAGAAGAAAGAATAAAAAAATACTAAAAATACATGTGGCAGCGTGTGTACTTCACCACTTGCGGAGAGTTTGGTTGTCTAATTTTAAGGTGGTTTTTATTCCATTTAAAAATAGTTTAGGGGGGTAATAGGATTTTCGCAAAGATAAAATGTGTAGTTGGGAATCCGGGTATAGATCAGGGGGTGCTTTTGCATTTTCCCTTTTCAGTATTTAGCAAAGTTAAAAAGTGCTTAAAACAAGCCAAAAGCATTAGGCTGGCCAATCCCAACTTATTGCTTTTTGGCTTAAAAGCTATTTTTGTTGAGCCGCTATTTTTAAGCCAATCCAAACAAGCTACATGTCTTTTGATGCTAGTAAAAGGCGGATTATGTCAAAAATAAAAAATCTTTGTTTTGCTTAGTAGCTTCAAGATCCCCGTGCAGAGTAAATTGCAGTAAATCCAGTAGTTATAAAAGAAAAAAATTATCTGCTATCAGTGTTTACATTAAATTAATAAAGCATCATATGTTTTTCATATACACGTTTATTCTTTATTATGGTTAATTAGTATATGTACTTGTCTCAATTTGTCACTTAATCATGATAAAGTAAATAATTGATGTAAACGTCGGGTATGAGTAAATTTTTTTCCATGCTTTTCCACCATGGGTATGTGGATCCGCTCTGAAAAAAGATTTGCCAGATCATTTTGGAAACTGGTTGGTACTACAGTCATACCTTTTTATAATAATACCTAACTATAAAAGCCAAATTTTTTCGAAACTAATTTTTATGTTATGGTATAATATATGTTCTCTATAACAGTATTTTGCTATATCATCCAAAAATATTTGGAATAAACGAGACTATTATAGAGAAATTTGACTGATTTTCGTGTCATATTTCAATTATCTAGTTTGCGGTGTTCCTTGTATGGTACGTGTGCTCCCCGTAGAGGTAACTTGACAATAATTGCTTTTACAAGAGGTGCCTTTCATAACTTAGTTTTAGAGAAATATATTCTTAAATTTAATGGTTAATAGTCAATGGTTTGGCTTCATTTTCCGTACATTGTTACGCTTTTTTTCGCGTTGACCGAGTATAGACATCAAAATTGTACTATTATTTACTTGACTTTGGTTTACTTTTTATTTAAATAGTTGAAATTTATTGCTAATAAATTCATACTGTTACCATTCTTGATCACCTAATTCGTACCCTTTGAATTTGTGACGTTTCAATCTATATATCTATATAAAAATGGGATAAAAAAATGCTGACTTGGCACCTCTAATATGCTAGGAAGGGTATTTATCTTTTTTCTCAAATTTTTGCCATCTTAACTCATTTTTTCTGGCTGAAAAATCAGCATATTCATACATTTACATCATAATTTAATTATATTTACCTACAGTTATGACAAATGGCTATTAAAATACCACTATTTAATGTACGGTATCAATTTCAAGAATTGGCGTTACTATACTACCCTTTTATAGTGAAAAAAATTGAATGCTAAACATTCACATTTTATAATTGAACAAAGGGTTACAAATCTATTGAGGCCTTGGATATACATATTATACAAACAGTAGGTCTGACGCAATCGGAGACGAACAACACCATCCAATTAGCGCTTTACTAGATGTAACTTTACTCTCTTTTTGACAAATTATTTTTTCTGAAAGGTGTTGCCTTTCCTTTGTGGTTGTACGTAAAAGTTCTTTTTATAATAAGGTATGTTTCAGTTTTTCGAACTTGGTTGGGGTATTGTCTTTACTTATCTGTTTGGGATTATATTCACTAATTATGTTATTCCTTTAATATTTTTGACTTTAATTTGATTTTTCGTTCATATAAATGTTAAAAAAATTCATCGATTAAGATATACACTAGATTCCTCGATATAAACAACCTAGCCAATATGATACGTAAGGGTAAGCATGCAACGTAAGCTAAGCATTTGCAGTGAGAAAGATTGATACTTGAACTTCATTACTGATGTTACCTCTTTGAGGAGAGGCTAATTGTGAGTTTTAGTTAAGATGACAGTATATGTATATGATAAATTCTAACTCTAGCATATTATTTTGAATTTCGTGTCAATAATAAAGGTTCATACTAATAAGAAAAATTAAAAATTACAAAAATGTAACTAACTACTAATTGAAAGCTCTATCTACGTTACGTGAATCTGAGATGTTTGTGGTGAAATAGAAGTTTGAGATATTTGTCATATTAAATTTTTTCTAATTATATCCCAGTTATCTCGCATTATATTGATGTTTCCGCTATTTTTTATATTGAGAATATTACAAGATCCTAATTTTTATTATTTTTATATATTTTAAATTATTACGTAAAGTTGATAAATATTTTTTATGACCGCGCAAAACGCGGGTAAATTTACTAGTAAAAATAAAACGAATAGGTTATTGGTGATTGGAATGAAATCATATCAAATTAGAGATCGGGTGAGACGGTTGTTTTTATTTTATTTAGGAAAAAAATTGAAGTAATAATAATATGAAAGTGGTATCATACCAACTTTCTCGACTACAATCTGCCTTATTTTTGGCTAAGTAATTGAAAAGGCAATCCAAGATAAAAGTGAAAACTACAACAAAGAAATACATATACTAAACTCGGTAGGTCATACCGAATTGCTTGTACAAAAATGCACTTTTAAAGAAAAAAGTATTATATAAGTATTAATATCATTTCATAAAGGATGTACTAAAAAGGTGTAAAGTTTGAAAATAATTATAACTAACTCCAATTTTTGACTTTTTAGTTAGACGAAAAAGAAATTTAACATGTTTTCCTCTTGTATCTTCTTGTTCTCTTCTCGTTTTCCCCCCTTTTTTTTAAGCGAGAGAAGTTTGTGTTAAATACTAGTAGTTCAACCATCAACCAACAATAGTATATCCCTTCCCCTTTAGGAAAAGGATTACGCAACAAGAAAAATATATTTTTTTTGTTTCCCATTTGGTGTTCGGTACTCGCATTGAACCCCGATTATATTCGAATTCACGCCAGATAGGGTCATTCGGGGGAAAGAGCTCCCTGCCAAGGATTTTTTCATACACAAGGCTCGAACTCGAGAACTCTGGTTAAGGGAGGAGCAACCTCATCCGTTGCACCACATCCTTTAGTGCTACAACAGAAATGTATTGCTCATCTCAATATGTTTGCTTTTAGTACTAGAGGATTCTACATAGACAAAACATCCATTTCTTTAAATGTCTTACTTATATCGTTACGTTTTAAAATTTATAAATTTTTAAAAGTGATTGATCTGTAAGGTCAACAAAGTTCAGAACATTCTTATTAAAGTTAGGAACCAAAGTTATTGGTCATTTATTATAATAACTAGAGTTAGGTGAAAAAAGAAGGTGACGAAAGGGTAATATAGCACAATTTAACAACATTAGCAAGATAATTTTAAGTCAATGAACGTAAAGTGTAAGAATAAATTCAATATAAATATGTAGTTTAGATTATTCGACTATATATATACATATAAGTTTAATATGTACTGTACAAATTAAATAGCCATGTTCACATTTTTTTTTAGAAAACATTCTTAATTTTTTAAAACGTCTTTCTTATTCTATTGTACTTATCTCTCTTTCTCGGCTGATCCTTTTCTTTAATGGTTTAGAAAAGACATTAAAAAAAAAGATTAAAAAAAAAAGAGAGAGTCTGGTGCATTAAGCTCTCGATATGCGAGGGGTTCAGAGAAGAGCTGGACCATAAGGGTTTATTGTACGCAGCCTTAGGGGCGGATTTATAGGCAAACTTATGGGCACATGAATTCATAATCTTTTCACAAAATTAGATATTTTATGTACATATTTTCTAAATTTGGTATAATCTTAACTGTTAGTACTCATGCTCTAAGGAAGTTGAATGGTGCACTTGGTTGAAGGTTTAGTTATTAGGCCATCTTCAACATTGCTGCATTTTGCCATAATGCATTCAGGTTTTGGAGAAATTTGGCTCCACTGCTGCTGCATATTTTCCCCAAAAATGGAGGATGATCATCTCCTCCATTACTATTCCCTATTACTTTATTATTATTTTTATTATTTAACATTTTTAATTTATCTCTTTATATATACCTAATTATATTTATGCAACATCTTTATAATATTAATTTATAATTTTGATAAATTAATTTTCGTGCATTTATTATTTATATGTGATAAATGTCAAAAAGAAAAGAAAATAAAATTCTTTAATAGAAATAAGAAAATAAAATTTAAATAAAAGATAATTATATACTATTGAAAAGAGAGAAAAATATAAAATGGAATATTCGTTTTTGGAGCAAAAAATGGAGTAATGACTTGAGTAACTTTACTCCATTTTTGGAGGAGAAAATAGAGGCAACTGTTGGAGATGACCTTACTACTAGGAATATGGATCAATTCCCACTTAGTACAATTTTTTACGACTCGAATCCGTGATTTTCTGGTCACATGACAACAATTTTACCAATTACTTTAATGCTTCTTTCGGGTTGGAAAAGACATATTTAATCAAAATTTATATATTTTGTATCATCCACTAAAACACCAATCTTGTACGTTGTGCACAACTGCACATATCCCTTGTGTTATTGGACGAGAACATCAAAGGAAAAGAAAAAGAACAAAGATTTGCCAGCAAAATTAACTATGAAGGTACAATAAACAAATTAATACTTAATAGAACTTGAATATAAACATGTTCATATTCAAAAGCAAAATATGGTATGACATGACATATGTGTTGAAAGCAAATACTCAACAATCTTAGGTAGAACTTAGCTGTCAAAGCCTTCCAATTGCTGGAATATGTACCTCTTATTTAGCTTTATTTTCACATTTATACAAACAATAAACATGTGGTTGTGTTTGTATTTATAAAGTAAAATGTCAAGAAGAGATAACAGAAAGGGATTTCCACTAAATGCAGAATAAAACTATTTTTGAAATGTGAAAATTGGAAAACCAAGTCAAGATTGAATTTCGTACTGCAAAAATAGTAACTTTCTTTGTCAAATTTCTAAGTTAATGACCTTTTTTTTTTATCTTTTAATTAACTTGAGTTTTTTTAATGTCTCGCTTGATGTGGTAAAGGGTTTAATAACTCATAGGTTTGACAATCTTGTAAAATTGTTAATGATAGGACGATGCTAATAAAAGTATAATTTATTAAAATATGCTCAAGAATTAGTTATTTACCATAACTTGTAGTGAACGAAAAAAATAATATCAATATCACTAGAATCATAAGATTCATTATCATATCGTGTTCTTAGCAAATAAAGAGCAATCTGTTATAAAGTCGCATAGTTTTTAACGATCAAAGTTATATAACCATCTTTTCCTCATTAATCCCTGAAATTTAAGATCTTCACCTAAAAAGGGAATCATGGGGATTGCAATTCACAAAAGTTGAGATATAAAAAAATTTCGGATGACCAAATATTGTATGGTCACCTAATTTAATCTTTTAAAAAAGTTAAACTATAAAAATTACATGTTTTTGTCTGTAAATGTTTGAATAAACATATCTAAATGTTTAATAAAAAATATATTTAATTTGCACTTAAAAACTACCTCTTTATTTGTTTTTTGTTATAATCATATGGTATCCGGCATCCAATGACTGAACTAATCCAGATTCGAACTGCTAGAACCTATTTAAGAAAAGCCTTCATGGCAAAGATTTTTCAATTTTCTAGATTCGAACTCAAGACCTCTGATCAAGGCCATATAGATCCAATATAATCTTAAAAACAACAACAACAACAATAATTCAGTAAAATTTTACAAGTGGAGTCTGGGCAAAGTAGAGTGTACGCAGACCTTACCCATACCCCCGGAGGGGTACAAAGGTTGTTTCCGAAAGACCCTCGGCTCGACAAGAAGAAAAATAAACAATAGACAATAGATCAGAGACATCAATAAAAGCTATAAAAATAGCAACAACATCGTAAAAAAATAGAAAAATAGATGTAAAAGCAATAACAATAAACAACAATACTACCATAGGAAATAGTGAGGAAACTACATAAACCACTAACAACCCACAATGAACATCAACAGGCCATGCCAGCCCCCGGAATAACAGCCTGATCACCTTACCCCAATACATCTTAGGTCGTCCTTTACCTCTCCTCGTACCTGCCAATGCTAACCGCTCACACCTCCTAACCGGGGCATCTATGCTTCTCCTCCGTAAGTGCCCGAACCATTGAAGTCTCGCTTCCCGCATCTTGTCGTCTATGGGAGCCACGACCACCTTCTCCAGAATATCTACATTCCTAATCTTATCCAGCCTGGTGTGCCCGCACATCCATCTCAACATCCTCATTTCTGCCACTTTCATCTTCTGGGTATGGGAATTCTTGGCTGCCCAACACTCAGCTCCATACAACATGACCGGTCTAACCACTGCTCTATAGAACCTGCCTTTGAGTTTCGGTGGCACTTTCTTGTCACACAGGACTCCAGATGCTAACCTCCATTTCATCCACCCCACTCATATACGGTGTGTGATATCCTTGTCTATCTCCCCATCCCCTGAATAATTGACCCAAGGTACTTGATACTTCCTCTCTTATGGATGACTTGTAAGTCAAGTCTCACATCCATGTCCACTTCCCCCGACTCATCGTTTAATTTACACTCCAGATATTCTGTCTTAGTCCTACTCAACTTGAAACCTTTAGCCTCAAGGTCTGTCTCCAAAAGCTTCGTGTCTCATCAATTAGTACTATATCATCAACGAACAACATACATCATGGCACCTCCCCCTGAATATGGTGTGTTAGCGCATCCATCGCCAGGGTCTGTCTCCAAGCCTGCTCTACCCACACACCTCCAAAATTCCACCCGAATTTCGTTTGGCCCGGTCGCTCGGCCCCTACTCATCTTGCACATAGCTCCCACGACCTCCTCAGCCTTAATACGCCTACAATACCTTAAGTCTTGGTGACTCCCGGAGTGACCCAATTCTCCTAGCACAATGTCTCTGTCTCCTTCTTCATTCATAAAGCCGATGGAAGTAATCCTGCCATCTTCGCTTAATCTGGGCATCTTTCATCAATACTCTACCTTCCTCGTCCTTGATGCACCTCACGATCCAAGTCACGAGCCTTCCTCTCTCTAGCCTTGGCCAACCGAAATAGCTTCTTCTCCCCTCCTTTGACCCCCAACTCCTGGTACAAACGACCAATATAATCTTAAAAGAAGAGTAAAATTACTTTAGATCATAACATCAAATTATTACTGTAAAATTATACTCCCTCCGGTTCATAATAAGTGATCAATTTGCTTTGGACACACCCATCGAGAAAATACTAAATTCTAGACGAAAATAGTTAGTGTGACTAAACTACCCTTCATTAAATGTTGCACCATAGTTATAGTAGCACTTACTTCTTTTCTCAAATGTGAGGAGTAAATGACTTTTTAGGGATACGTACATAAGGGTAATTTCGGAAAAACAAATTGAATTTTTTCTTGATTATATAAATGAACACTTCTTTTGGACCAAAATAAAAAGATAAATTGGTCACTTGTTATGGACATCAGGGCGTATAATATTTCTTAAATTTTCTAAAATAAATTTCTGGGTTGTGTCACTGTATAGATCCATCCTATAGCATCTATTGGTAGTCATTTTTGGTTGTTTGAAAAAGGAAAAAGTGGAAAATCACATAAATTTATTAACCTTTTGGGGATATATCCACATTTCCTGTAAGTTTCTCGTATGTCCTACCAAACTCAAATAACACAGAGAAGCAAAACAAACAAATCCTTTAAAAGAAATGTGCTCACCGCGTCTGAAAGATACTTCCCAGCAGTTAAAAATCCTCCCTTTTTTTACTTATATTCTTCCCCAATTCTTGATATTCAGTTTTAAGGCTTCTTCATCTCTGCTTCCAAGCTACTTCTTCCCTTACACACACACACTCCAATTATATATACACATCCAATAAATTCTTGAATCTGTTCAGTTTTGGTTCAACACAGTGAGGAAAACAAAGAAAGAAATTAAGAATGATGAGTAACAGAGATCTAGAGAGGGGAGGAGGAACAAAATCAAGAAATGGGACATTATATCCTCCACCAACATCAGCTTATTATGTGGAGAATTCTGAATCACAGTGGACATCTTGGTTGGTTCCAATGATTGTGGTTGCAAATGTAGCCATGTTTATTGTAATCATGTTTGTTAACAATTGTCCAAGTAATATTAGTGACAGTTTTAACAGCAGAGGCAGAAAATGTGTTGCAAGATTCCTTGGGAGGCTTTCTTTTCAACCCCTTCAGGAAAATCCTCTTTTTGGACCCTCTTCTAACACGTAATTTTCCCTTTCTCTTTCCCCCTATTTTTAATTGAGCTAATTTTTGTGTAAAATTTTGATTTATAGACTAGTTTGAAGGTTTGAAGGGACCGGTAAAGTTGTTGTCATATGACCGGTAAGATAAGGCCGCGTACTATAGACCTTTGTGGTCCGGCTCTTTCCCGGATCCCGCACATAGCGGGAGTTATTGCACCGGACCGCTCTTAGACTAGTTTGAAGGTTCTTCCCAATTTGATGTAGTATTAGCTTAGTGAGATGCATTCTTGATTTCTGTTATACTTTGGTTCTTGAAAGACTGTTGCTTTGATCTAGTTAAAGGGAGGTTTGCTTTAAATACATTTATTGGGGTAAAATTGTTTAGGCTTTTATAAAAAAAATTGCGTTTTTTCCCCCAGTTTTTAAGTAGATTCCAAAAAGGAAACTTTTGGCAGTAAAAGCATTAATCTTCTTGGTTAATTTGTGCCTGATTCCTGATTCAGTTCCTTTGTTGTGTATTTTTTTGTCTGACTAAGAATTTTTGTCCTGCGAGTTTATGAGCTTTTTCTTCAATCTAATTGTTTACAAGGTTTTAAATTGTGTGTTAAGAGGCCAAGAAAAATTTGAGACAGCAATTGCCAGTTTACCGCTAACATTGATTCTGCTAATGTCTAAAGCTCTCTTGAAGAATGCTCTTTAACACCCTAAATTTGCTTCCTAGAGCTCCCAGCTGACTCTAATAGTAGCCTTCTAGCATTATTCTAAGATTATTTCGTCGTAATGTGAAATGACCTTGTTGCTAGATCTACGATGTTATGATTGGCTGTAACCCCCTTAATGCTCTTGCCTGTTGTATTATGTCAATTGTCAAAGCTGCATATATTAGCTGTACCTTCTTGAAGTTTGCTTTGGTCACGGAAAACACAGTATCTCTATTATTACTGTATTTGTTGGACTTTTTCGACTTCATGAAACCAACCTTACATGAAGATCTATTTGCGGGAGGTAATGGACATTGTCAAAAGCTCAATTCCGTTGATGGCAATGACTATGATAGTACCACACAAATGTGGACTAAGTGCTGTGTTTCCTGTAACTTTTTGATAAATGAGACATCAACATAAATTTGTTATAAAGAAAGAGGAAAAAAAGGTTAATTGTGATATCTATTAGTGAACTGTCAGGTTGGTAAATAGATTCGGGAGGCTGTTTTCCGTTTTTCCAGATTTAGAATCACCACTTCAAAATTTGAGGTTAATTTTAGCAAGGGATAGTTCTTCCGACCATCAGACCAAATCGGAAGATTCCAAAGTTTGTTCATTTGCTGCTAAACTGTGAATCATTCTCCCTCTCCCTCTCCCTCTGCCTTGTTGTTCATTTCCATGGGAGGGGAGTGCATATTGGACAACAAACCAATTGTTAGATGGATAAAAATAGGGGTGTCAAATGGGTGAGTTGGGCCGATTTTGAACTGGTCAAAACAGGTTGAGTCAATAATTGGGCGGGTTAAATAACCTATCCAAAAGTTATATGGGCTAAGATGAGTTGGGGCAAGATGGTCTAAAATTTGGGTCATAGCCCAACCCGTTAATATGTGTTGTTTTCATATGAATTGTATAATTACTAATTAAGACTTTTTTTCTTTTGTTATGGTCATATATAACATATGAAACAAAGAATAAAATTATTTCTAAGATATTTTGGTAAAGTTACTCATGGATCAATTTGGGCTAAAAATCAGCCCAATTTTAAATGGATTGAGATGGGTTGGGTCAAGATAGACTAAGGTCAATAAATGGGCGGGTCAATGACTAGCCCAACCTTGGGCGGGTCATTTGGGCTGGGACCAAATTTGACAGCCCTAGATAAAAATATGGATGAGAAGTTTTTTCATCCGATAACTAAAACTTAAAAATAAGGACACATGTAGAAGTGCTTCAGCAGAAATTTTACACTAACCTTTGATGAAAAATGCACTAGTTCCCTGTTAAGAATGTTGTCTTCACTGAGAGACTAATTGGATAAACTTTTTCTGTGTATTACAGATAGCAAGATACCTTTTATGGTGGTTGGGATTTATTATTGAAATCTTTGTTCCATGTTTCATTCAGTGTTAAATCTTCTGGAATTAAAGGAGTGAATCTTCCTACGTGATGTTGCAAGTTCTGATGTCACTCTTGTTTGAAAAAAAATTAAGGAAAAAATGGAAGTCAGACTAAGGAACTGTTACATACTGATTGTTCACTGTAATTGTGCAGACTACAGAAACTGGGAGCTCTAGAATGGAATAAAGTAGTGAACGAGCATGAAGGCTGGAGACTTTTCACTTGTATCTGGTTACATGCCGGTGTTGTTCATTTGCTTGCCAACATGTTGAGTCTGGTTTTCATTGGGATTCGCCTTGAGCAGCAGTTTGGATTTGGTATGGTTCTCATTATCATTTTGATTACTACAATTGTGGCAATGGAGATGGAGAAATTGGTTATATTCATTAGTGTTATCTATCACAAACTCAGATTTTTGTCCGTCTGTCTGGTTATTTCCCCTGACATTGTGCCCGGTTATCTAACATCTAGGGGTCCATTGCCATTTTCTAAAATTACATGTTCTACTTGCATGCTCTTTACAAATATTTTTCTGTTTCTTCTTTCAGGAAGAAATCCTGCCCTTTTTTCTTAGAATTTAATCAAAATCCTACTATACCGCTTCTTGTCTATATCTCACCATTATCTACTGTTACATGCAGTCCGTGTAGGGATTATCTACCTTTTGTCTGGAATTGGTGGGAGCGTTCTTTCTTGCCTTTTCCNGGGATGGGGGCATGGGGAGATTTCAAGAGCTGCCTTATCCATTTTTTTTATTTGCTTTCTTCTTCCACTTGAAGTTTGATCTTTTTCTAATCATAACATGTAAGTCTGTAGCCGTGATTGCAAAACCAAGCTATTCATATTGGCTCTTTAAGCACCTCGTGTGTTCTTACTCCAGTTGAGGAGGTTGTTTGATTCATTTATAATAAATTCTAAATACCTAATTCCTCTACTAATCATCCTCATTTTTACAGGCTGCAGCTCTTTTCACTCTTATTATCATCATCGCGATTAACTTAGCTGTTGGTCTTCTTCCTCACGTTGATAACTATGCCCATATTGGAGGTTTCATGAGTGGTTTTCTTCTTGGCTTTGTTCTGCTACTACGGCCTCAGTTTGGTTGGCTCGAAAGGCAACATCTTCCAGCTGAAGCTCGCCTCAAGTCCAAGTTCAAAGTTTACCAATATATTCTCCTACTGATTGCCTCGATTTTGTTGATTGTTGGGTAAGCTCTCTATCACTCCTATGGTCGATCCTACATTTGCCTTATTCTAACATCTTAATTTACGTAGTTGTTGTTGCTGCTTCCTATGAAATTTTTCACTCAAAAAATGTTACTCCCTCCGTCCCAATTTGTAGTGAGTAAATTTTTTTTTAGCTCGGGATAAATTATTCATTGATCAGGATAAGTTGTTGAGCATGCTATTGTCTGCATACAAAGACAGATTTTAGAATTCTAAGTCAATGAGTACTAAGAACATGTCACACACTATTCCTCTGCAACTATGGGTGTTGACTCACTATAAATCTTATATCAACTAGTCGGGGTCAAGCTATATAAATCTTGTATATCCGTTATGTTCTTTTGGGTCTACAGCAATATATATCGTAGAAGGATTTATACCATTCACACTGGCAATTTAAACAACTTTACGCTATTATTGTAGTTTAACGGTTGTACAGGTTATTTATCGTTTATTCCACATTATCATTTCAAAACTTTACTTTTAATGCCTTTTAAGTGACACCTAAATGTTTTACGTCTTCAACGCGTGGACTATATACACGTATATTCTGACAAAAGCTCTAGGTTGCTCAGATCCTTCAAAAATACTGCCGGGTACGTGTCTAATCATCCAGAAGCTACTCATTCTGGAGGATCCGACATGGATGAGAAGGCATTTTTGGAGGATCCAAGCAACGTAATATAGGCCAGAAATAGTGATGTGTCCAAATCCGCCGCATGCTTGTCTGATCATCCACCTAATAGTTTTTTGTTTTTCTATTTTCCTTCCAAATTCTACAGATTCACAGTGGGATTGGTGATGCTATTTAGAGGTGTAAAGGCAAACGAGCATTGCAATTGGTGTCGTTATTTAAGCTGTTTGCGTACATCAAGATGGAACTGTGATAACTAAGAGATTTTCCCTTCTGTTCTGCGGCTATGATTTTTCTCATTATGTCTGTCTTTATTCATCTTAGACTAATTAAAACATATTGTTCATATGTTACTTTTACATGTATAGTGACTGCTGGTTTTGTTGTGTGGATATATTATAATATATTTGTAAATCTGTATACTATTTGCAGTGGATCTCCATTTATCTTTAGGTAAGATAGCAAGAACTTTCACCTTATTATTTTGTTTGAGCAAATGACAAACTATGAATGGCAATGACACGAAGAAATCTACTGACAAAGGTAGGGGTAAGATATGCGGATACACTACCCACCAGAGACCTCAAAGGCGGATCTAGAATATGTCCTCCTGGATACACTACCCTCCCGAGACTCCAAAGGCGGATCTAGAGTATGTCCCCCAGGATTATCTGAACTCAGTACTTTCGTTGCGGAACATAAATTTATGTGGAGTATTATCACTTTTAGCATGTGCCAGAAATTATTTACATTCGGTAGCCGAAAAAATATATAAAATTTGTATAATTTTTGTATATTACATGCAAAATGTATATATATATATAAAATATAATTTTTTTTGCTATTATTTTGAGAGCGGCTAGACAATGTCATTTATGTGTAAAAATCCATCGAAGTTGTAACAAATGGTAGGTCCGGACCCATAACTTTAAAAACACAATAGGTTCAATGCTAAAAACCTTAAAAATTGAACGCACATACTCTAAATCCTGGATCCGCCTCTGCTAGATCCCACTCATGAAATTACACAAGATTTATTGTCGTATAAGAAGTAAATCAAGTTCACCTATTGATTTTCTCACATAGATATATTGATGTACTTATGTTTTTAATTTAGTGCCACTTGATTTAGCGAATTTATTGAAAAACATGCTGATTTTAAGTTAGCTTTAAAATTACTGCAGACAAGACTGCAAAACACATGAAGAGAGCAACAAATACATGATCTTGAGTCCAAAACTTTTTTGATGTTTTTTGGACGAAAAATACTTTTCTACCGCTTAAAAAAAAAGTTACATAAATGAGTAAAACGCAGTATTACACTGCGAACTACTTTAACGGAAATTAGTTCGTTAAAGTAAAATGCAGTACCACACTGCGTTTTACTTTATTTTTTTTTTGTAATTCGCAGTACCATATTGCGTTTTACTTTAATTTTTTTTTGTAATTCACAGTATAATACTGTGTTTTATACGAAAATCTGGGCCCAACTATATTTTATTAAAGTTGTTCACAGTACAATACTGCGAACAACTTTAATAAAATAAACCCCCTTCTTCTTCCTTGGACCACTGAACCGACGCCCCCCTCTTTTAAAAATTCCGATTCTGCTGGTCCCCCCCTCCCCCACCCCGCGACAAACTTAATTTTTTTTTCCGGCCCCACCCGTCACCTAAAGAGCAAGGAGTGTAGTCCCACATACAAGACAAGTTTTGGATTCCTTCTTTCGGGTGCAAAAATTCGATTTCAATCAAATTCAAAAAACTTAAATCAAGGTATTTCGATTTTGTTTATGTCGAAACTCGTATAGTACATGCATATTTGTATTGTTTAATGTGTTTCCATGTTAATTTGTGTTATATTTGTGTTTAAATTTGTATCTTATTTATACCCGGATTGATTTATTAGCTTTGGTACAAAAAATTGTTAAAATTTGATAAATTATTTGTATTGTTAAAAAATTAATATTATTTTTTTTTGTTGTTCATATTTGTATTTTATGTTAGTTGTTTTTATATGTAATATTGACCTTTTAGCGTAGTAAAATAAATAGCCTTTTAGCGTAGTAAAATATAGAGCCTTTTATTGTTGTAAAATATAGAGTCTTTTAGCGTAGTAAAATGTAGAGTCTTTTAGCGTAGAGTCTATGTAGTTTAAGTATGTAGTAACTGCAAACTCTATCCAATTACACTTTACAAAATTAATTATTTAATTTATAACAATAAACTTACAAAAGTGAAAAATTAATATATGTTGTAACATTAACTCAAATATCGAGCCTGGAACCCATACATAATTATTCAGTCCAATTTTAAACATAATTAATTATTTAATTTATTAAGCTAACACACACAATTCTAAAAATATTGAAATTAACACGCATAATAATTAAGGATAACTCGGTGCTACTGGGCCTCAAATATCGAGTCTGGAACCCATACATAATTATTCAGCCCAATTTTAAACATAATTAATTATTTTATTTATTAAGCTAACACACACAATTCTAAAAATGTTGAAATTAACACGCATAATAATTAAGGATAACTCGGTGCTACCGGGCCTCAAATATCGATCCTGGAACCCATACATAATTAATCAGTCCAATTTTAAACATAATTAATTATTTAATTTATTAAACTAACACTCACAATTCTAAAAATGTTGAAATTAACACGCATAATAATTAAGGATAACTCGGTGCTACCGGGCCTCAAATATCGAGCCTGGAACCCATACATAATTATTCAGTCCAATTTTAAACATAATTAATTATTTAATTTATTAAGCTAACACACACAATTCTAAAAATGTTGAAATTAACACGCATAATAATTAAGGATAACTCGGTGCTACCGGGCCTCAAATATCGAGCCTGGAACCCATACATAATTATTCAGTCCAATTTTAAACATAATTAATTATTTAATTTATTAAGCTAACACACACAATTCTAAAAATGTTGAAATTAACACGCATAATAATTAAGGATAACTCGGTGCTACCGGGCCTCAAATATCGAGCCTGGAACCCATACATAATTATTCAGTCCAATTTTAAACATAATTAATTATTTAATTTATTAAGCTAACACACACAATTCTAAATATGTTGAAATTATAGTAGACGACATGGACTTTCCTCCGCGTGCGCATCCTGGACCTGTCGAGGATCAGCTACTAGTGTTGCAGGGCGACCATAAGTCCTCCTTTGTATGGGAGGGACAACTATCGATGCAGCCTCTCCGCCCCAGGAGACCTGACGA